GGGGGGGGGGGGGGGGGGGGGGGGGGGGGGGGGGGGGGGGGGGGGGGGGGGGGGGGGGGACCCCTCGCTCGCCCCCCGCCCGCCCGGCTCACCTGCCGTCCGAAGGGGAAGAGCAGCCGCGCCAGCTTCTGCCCCACGTAGCGCGTGTCCACCGCGAAGTAGCACTGCAGGCGGCGCACCGGCACCAGGCGCTCGGCCTGCGGGGAGAGGCGGTCAGGCGGGCGGCGCTCTGCACATGCTCGGCGGAGGCCCCCCCTCCAGAGGCCGCGCAGAGCCACTCACCAGCGCCCTCCCGCGCCAGGCCAGGCTGCTCTCGTAGGCCGCCGCCAGGCTGCCGAGCGTCTCCGGCCGCGGGGGGAGCCCGCTCGGGTCCTCCGGGGGGCGCTGCGGGGGGAAAGGCGGGGCGGCGAGACCCCCCCTCGCCCCCACCGGGCCCCCCCGACACCCACCGGCGCGCGCGGCCCCTCCCACCGGGCGGCCCTCCATGGCTGGGCGCCGCTGTGGGCGGGGCGACGGGAGGCACGTGAGGCCACCGTCGCTCCGGATAGGCGGGCCGGTTGCCAGGAGACCGCCTGCCGTCATCGAGGCCCCGCCCGCCTGAGGGGAGGGAGCGGCCCAGCGAGCGCTCTGGGCTCCTGCTTTCTCCGGCGGCTTCGCCTGCGGCGGCGGCGGCTGCCCGCGGGGGCCACAAGCGAGGAGGCTGACGGAAGCCCAGGATGGCGAGTGCGACCAAGTGCGGGGTGGCCTCCCTCGCCAAAGGCCTGGCCGGAATGCAGGCCCCTAAAGAAGCTGCTCCTTCCGGAGGGCAGAAGAGCCGCTTCTTGGTCCTTAATGGCTGCTGGCATGTTTTCACGGAGGGCGCCCGGAGCGCCCCATCCCTGCAGGAAGGAATCGGATGGGCGTACCTGATGGGAGACCGGGAGGGAGGGGGCGCTCAAGTAACCTGGCACCCACCGCCTTGAAGGCTGCCTGGAAGAGAAGCCATCAGCCGATCCAGCTTGCAGAGGGGAGGGGGGGCATATTGAGGCATGCCCGTCAATGCTCGCGGCTGCTGAATTCTGGAACCAGCTGAAGTGCTTTTGAAGGGAGCCTGTGTAAAGTGCATCGCAGTAGGAGACCAGAACACGAGCGACAGTCTGAAGCCCCCCCCCCCCTCTAGGAAAGGCCTTCCTGGCTCCAAGTGACCCAGAACGGGAAGGACCTCAGGCGGCACACCTTGAAGGGACATGTGGTACCTCACGCAAGTCAAAGAATGGAAGGTCCCCAGATATGGGTGATGGAGACACTGCACTCGGCAGCGTGGAATCATTCCTCTCCATCCAAACCCACCTTAACCCTAACCCTGACTCTGGGACAGAACTTGCCACCCTGACTTGACTGGATCTCCTACTCTAGCCACGAATCAGGCTGCAGTGCCCACTTGGGACTGGCAAGCTGCCTGGACTCTCGGCTCCTGCTTGAAGAACAGGTGGCAGCCCTGCCCAGGAGGGTCTTCAGGCAGTGTTTACCTGCGGCACCTCGTGGGTGGGCTGCTCTTGTACACTTGGCCCGTGTGCGTAAGTGGCATAAGTAGTGACAGACAGGTGGCATCCCTGCTCCTGTTCTGGGTGCCGTTGCAGGTTCTGTCAAGCGCAGTGAAGGGCGTAGGTGTCAGCTGCAGCCACGGCCTCGTTTGATTCTTTCTTTCTGCCTCTCAAGATCTGTATGCCCCCCTCCCACTTTCAAGGAGCCTTAAATACCTGGCAGTAAATAACAATTTTTAATCATTTAATCATAGAGGCACAGGCTCCTTTTCACTGGGCCTGCTGGAATTGGAGAACCAGTCCGAGTGGAACAAGCACCCGGGGCCTCACAGGTGGTTCTTGTACACGCTGACTGACGTGCAAACACTCTGGATAGGCCCACATGGAAGAGGAGAATGAATGTTGGAAAATAAAAAAAAATGATGTTGAGGGATTTGCTTCACTTTTTGCTTGAATGTACACTGAGAGCTTATGCACCAAATTTCTGTGTCCAATCACACTTGGCTAATAAAGAATTCTAATTCTTTTGTGCCCCACTCTGGCTGCTCTTCCAGGTCCCTGTTCTCCCCAGGGTCCTCAGGCTTCCTTGCTAGCAAGCTTCTCCAATTCCCCAGTTCCTGTTTTGAAGCAACTTGCTTCCTGCCTAGAGCACATCCACAGTCCTGAAAGGGAGGGGAATGCCTCCCTTCTGCTCCTCTTCTGTAACTCCCTCCCTCCCTCCCTCCCTCCCTCCCTCTCTCTCTCTCATATTCTGGGAGGTGCCAAGGCCAAGACAGGACAGGAGAAGGGCAGCAGTGAAGTACAAGGGCTTTGGATCAGTAGTAGTCCAGCCAGGTGCCAACTCCCCTTGCTTTCCCCAAAATCTGACCCTCCGGGGGTGACCTCCAACGGTTGGCCTTAATCGTTTAGCCTGCGTCAGGGCCAGGTGCCCGGGACGGGGACCCGATGCTGCCCGCCCGCCCGACTCACCGGCTGGAAGGAGCGGAGTTGGTACAACTCGCCCGGAAAGCGGCCGAGCCACCATCCCCCCTGCCAGGTGCAGCTCTTGGTAGTCCCGGCCCCGCCTGACGGGAGGGGCCTGGCCGCCGCCCAAGAGGCTGGTCGGCGGGGCGGACGCCACTTCGCTTCTGCCAGCCGCCCTCTTCTTCCGCTCCTGTTGGCCGCCAGTGGCTCTGCGCTCTGCCGAGGGAGCCATGAGGCGCGGCGCCGTGTTGGCGGCCTTCGCGCTGGCCTACGCGGGCTACCTGCTGCTCGGGGCGCTGATCATCTCGGCCGTCGAGCGTCCGTACGAGAGGCGGCTGCGAGCCGAGCTGAGGGATTTGAAGAGCGCCTTCCTACGTAGCAGCCCCTGCCTGTCCGAGGCCAGGCTGGAGCGCTTCCTGGACGCCGTCTTGAGCGCCGACCGCCACTCCGTCGCCCTCCTGCGCAACGGCTCGGCCACCACGTCCAACTGGGATTTCGCTTCGGCCTTCTTCTTCGCCAGCACATTGATCACCACCGTGGGTGAGCCGAGGCCGGCTGCGCTTCTTCCCCTGCCCTTTCCGCGGGGCACTCCGGGCGCAGGGGGCGGGGAAGGGCCAGGCGGGGGCCTTGGAAGGAGGGGGCGCGCTTCGGGCCCGGCCTCTCTTTCGCGCTCGGCCGGGGTACGGCGTCTCCACCGTCTGAGACGCGATCTTGCCGGAGAACTGCTGGCGCAGGTGAGCAGCCGGGGCGCTTCTTGGTCTTCAGCTGCCGCTCGCTCGGTGCTGCCGAGGGTCGAAAGAGCGCGCCGAGCGCGGCCTTCAGACAGTGGCTGGCTCTGCCTCGGAGCGCATCTCTGCCGGGGCGCTTGGTCACGCGCGGTTTCTGCAGCCCGTTCGGACCCGGAGGGCCTGGACGGAGCTGCCAGGCTTAGCGGAGTAGGCGAAACTGCGTCTCCGCGCTCGGGCGTTCAGGCGCCTTTGGGTGCCTGAACTGGTAGCGATCTCCTTTGTGCCTTGGCCGGTGGCAGCCGCCTCTTCCGAGGGAGCGTCGGGTGGCTACTGGGCGGGCCCTCTCTTGCTCCTGGAATGGTCTCTGCTGCCCACGGTCCAGGCGCCCTGCAAAACAGGGCCAACCCTGGTGCCCTTCTCTGTCTGGCTCCATCTCTGGTGTGGGAGGATTCCTTTGCTTTTTGTGCCAAAGGCAAGTAGTAAATTCTCAGGTTCCATTTTTAAATGTAATAGCAAATACTTTCACACAGGAGAGTGCTGCAGAATTTTATTAGTGATAATTACATGAATATTGTACAACTGTCATGTAAAATGACTCTGGAGATAATTGTGACTACAGAACCCACAAAAATGGCAAAAGAACAAAACAAGAGTGACTTTACCCTCTCCAGGTGATATGGGCAAGTGTTGGGCTCTGTCAGGTAGACTTGGCATATGGGCAAAAGTGCCAATCTTAGTTTTAGAGAAGGGCCCTAGCCTCAAGCACTCGTGTCGCTTGGCACACGGATGGGGTAGCCTGAGCATTTGGCCCCATGGAATTGAGCCACAAGTAAGCTGGCTAGTTTCCCCCAGTTGATGTGCAGCTTTGCCTTTGGGACAGAGAGGCCACTGTCGTCGTCCCCTCCCCCCGTTTTAACCTAGAGGCCCCCAAGGCATGTTCGATATGAACGGGGATTAGGCAGCAGGTGGTGCTGCCCCAGAGCCAGGGTTCCGTGCCCTCTGGCTTCTGCTGTGTCACCAGCCCTGGGGCGCTGGCATCTGCCATCCACCTCTTTGCCCTCCGTCACTTCTGGGTAGCCCTGCTCTGCCCAATATACAGGATTGATATTTGTTCTTTTCAAGAATAAAAAACCTTGAAGGTCCCAGCAGTGATCAAGCTACTATACTTCCAGCGCACGCTCTCCGACTAAAGCCTAAGGCTGACACTCGCCCCTCTCCCCACCTGCCACGACGTTCCCGTGAATGTTCCGCTTCCCTTCAGAAGGTCTGCCTGCCTCTCACCTTCCTTTCCTTCCGTCCCACCAGCCGTGTGAGGTTGCTGTCCAAATAAGAACTGGGCCCCGCAGCAGCAGCAGCAGCTCGTGCTGCAAAGGCAGGAATAGTCCTCCCAGGGCCGGAAGTGGCTTGGCTTGATCAGTGGAGTCCGGCGCTGCTCAAGATGGAGCCTCGGCACAGCGACCACTGCCTCTAACGCTCGCCCTTCCCTCCTCCCAGGCTACGGTTACACTACGCCCCTTTCGGACGCCGGCAAAGCCTTCTGCATCTTCTACGCGGTGGCGGGAGTCCCCTTCACCATGCTGGTGCTGACAGCTGCAGTGCAGCGCCTTGTGGGCACCTTCACCTCTGGGCCACTGGAATACCTGGCTCTCCACTGGGGCTCTGACCGCCGCATCCTGTCATGGGGGCACCTGCTGGTGCTGATGGGCCTGGTGTTGGTGACCTTCTTCTTAGTGCCTGCTACCATCTTCAGTTCCCTGGAAGAATCCTGGAGCTTTCTGGATGCTTTCTACTTCTGCTTCATCTCCCTCTGCACCATCGGCCTGGGAGACTACGTCCCTGGGGAGCAGCCCGGGCAACGCCTTCGCCCTCTCTACAAGGTCTCCGTCACAGGTCAGTAGTGCTGTGCCCCAGGAAGAAGCGGAAAGGCCACCCAGAGAGCATCCAGGTGGAAGGCTGAGCCAGAGAGGTTAGTTTGGACAGGCACCCCAAGCCTGCCACCTCACATGGGCAACCCGTGATTTCCAGGTGGGCGAGGAGGAGGAGGAGGGAAGGGCCTACCTGTCTGCCAGACCTGCCCCCCCCCGGCTCACTCTCCCCCCCCCTCTCCTTCCAGTTTACCTGCTTCTGGGGCTCATGGCCATGCTGCTGATTCTCCAGACCTTCCACAAGCTGGCAGACCTGCACGGCCTCTCTGAGCTGGTCTTCCTGCCCCCGGAAGGACCCCCTGAAGAGCATCAGAGTATCCTGGGGGAGCCCAGCCCTGCCTCTGAGCCAGGACAGCGGGAAGCCTTGCCTGCACAGCCCAGGCCAGGAGGCCCATCCCATTATTCCTCCATTAACAGATAATAGCGAGGAGGAGGAGCAGGGCGAGAGTCGGAGCTAATCCACAAGGAAGACTGGCTGCTCCTCCCTCCTTCCTGACCAAGGAAATGAGGCTGCTGGCGGGTCCACTCCTGGGGAGGGCAGGGCAGGGAATCCAGCGACTCTCTGGTGGCCAGGAGAGGAGAGCGTGGAGAGGCTGCTGGCCCGGACTCTGGATGGGATGGGGAGGTTTAAAAAGTCCAGCGGAAAGGCTGGGGCTCCCGGGCCCTTTGCCTCTCCCCTGTGACACCTCCTCCTCTCACTACAGTCAGTGCAACGTGGCTGAATATCCTGGTTTCCAGCTGTGGTTGGACCTGAGCCTTGCAAGCCGGGAGCTGCTGAGGCGGAAGGAAGGGGGGGAGAGCAGAGGGGGTGGGGCTATGTGCTTGAGACACCAAAGCCTCAAATGGAAAGTGGAAGCGAAGCGGCCCGTCCAGGGTCCGTTTCTCCAGAGGAGCCCAACCCTTTGTGCTTCTTTCTGAGTACTTGACTGCAGAAGCCCCTCCCCCTTCTGGCTGGTTGGACCCCAGAGCCACCCCGGGGAATGCTTGGCCTGTGCTGCTATTTCTACCCCACCCACCCACCCACCCACCCCAGTCAGTCCAGCCCACTCTGCCCATCCCCCCCCAACGCTTGTGCCCCAAAGGGAGGGAGGGAGGGAGGGTCCCTGCTGCTCTCTTTCCTCCTCAGAGAAGCCAAATCTGTCGACTCCTTTTATAGAAAATATTTATTGGTCCAGTAACAGCAGTGAAGAAGTGACTGTGGCCCCAGCTGGCATGATGCCAAAAGGCCCCCCCGCCTGGCTGACAGCCCCTACCTGGATTGTGGGAGTTTGAGCAACTGTTGGAGGAAAAAGGGAGGTGCAGCCGGGGAATCAGAGGTGGAGAGTTGTAGGTCCCCCTCCTCACCACAGGCACAAAGACCCAGGAAATGTTTGGGGGTGGGGGCTTCCATGCTGCCCTCAAGTCAGGAGGAAAGGGCAGGAGCCCTATTCCCAGGCCCCAGGCAAAAGCCCCTGCAGGGTAACTCTGCCCCAAGTCTTTAGCAGGTGAGGAAAAGTGGCTGGGGGGGGCAGCATGCCTTCCCCCCCCCACACACACACGGACAACGCGGGGGGGGGGGGAGAAAATGTTTCCAATCAGAGGCAGCCAGACAGGCTCCTGCCTTCCAAGGACAAGAGGGATCTGGCCCCGTTTTGGGACCTTTTGGCCACCCCCCCTCCCCCCATGGCCCTGGCCAGAAGCGGAAGAGCCCCCTCCTCTCCTGAGCCCCGGCCACCTTCCCAGCTCCTCCAGAGGGGTCCTTTCACCTCCTTTCTCCAGTCCCACCTGGACAGGTAATAAATATTCCCCACCCACCCCAGCTCAGGCTCGGCTGCGGGGGTTGTGGAGGCAGCGAGGGGGCTGCCCTGCGGGCACGGTGCCAAGGGGGCACACGCAACGGTAGGAGCCCTCCAGGTTGAGGCAGCGGCCGCCGGAGCACAGCCTCTCCACCTCCCTGCATTCGTCAATATCTGCGGAGAGGACAGAGGTCACGTCAGGCCGGCCTTTGGCCAGGAGAGCAGGGCTCAGCCTACCAGCTGGGGGGCAAGGACAGGGGGCCCTCACCACGGCAGGCCATGTGGGTCGGGTCAAGGCGGTAGCCCTCATTGCAGGAGCAGGTGAACCCATCCGCAACCTGGACACACCGGCCATTCTCACAGCCACTCAGGATCCCGCACTCCTCGGCCGGGAGCCCCCCGGCACCTCCAAAGCCTCCTGCTGGCGAAGACCAAGAGATGCAAGCAGGCTCCGCTTTTGCACTGGCACAGCCTGAGACACCCCCCCTTCTCCCCCCTCCTTAAAGCTTCCCCTCCCAGGGGCCCCCTTCCAGCCCAGGACCTCCTGCAGGGCCCTTTTGCAAACCTGGGAGTGGTAGCTCCCCCTCCCCCTTTGTCACCAACTCACGGTAGTCTTCGCTGGCGCGACTGGGCCGTTCAGAATAGGAGTGCCCACGGCCATGGGATGGGTAGTGCCAGTCTGAGTCAGGGCGGCTGCGAGGCTCCTCAGCCGGGGTGTCCAGCTGCGCATGGCTATAGGGTGTGTCCTCCAGGCCAGCTGCCGCCTCGTAGGGGGATGGTCCATACAGTGACTCGTGAGGGAGAGCGTCATAGCTGGGAAACAGAGGGCCGGGCCGGGCCAGGGGGCCGTAGACATCGGGGCCGTAAGGCAGAAACTCTCCTCCGCCATATTCGAAGGGTGCCCCCAGGCTGCCCGGCCGCCCCAACCCATAACTGGGGCGCTGCAGGACATTGCACAGGGCCTCAAAGTCATCTGGGGGAAGCAAAGGGACGGGGGGGGGGAGTTAGTACCAAGAGAGCTTAAATGCAGGGGCAGATGGTCTCCAGGGGACCCCCGGAGGGCGTAGGCAGGCTGCTGAGCAAAGGCAGAGGAAAGGGGGCCACCAGGCTCCCCACAGAGGCTCCCCGGAGCCTCTCCTTGCTATTAACTGTCACAAAGCTAGAAAGCGGGCAGGAGACCCACGGTGGCTGGGGGGAGGTGGGGGCTCAGGAAGAAAGCAACCCCCCCCCCAGGCTGGCAGAGCTGCATCCGGAGCACACAATATGGGGCCTGAGGGGACACCCGGGAACCTCCCTGCATGGCGCAAGCACTTTCTGGCCTCCAGCTCCAGCTTACCGTGCAGATGAGCGCATAAAAGTTTAATAAATGAATGGAAAGAGGCGCCTGGGAAAAGGCGGCTATTCCTCCTTCTTAGCGCCTGGTGCTCCTCTCCCCTTCCCTGTTCATGAGCCTGCAAGGGGGGCCCACGGGGGCCTGTCCCTCCGCTCCATCCTCTGCTGCTGGGGGAGGAAGGAGGGCACCTACCCGAGTCCCGGGCTGGGCACAGAGCGCAGTTCATGCTCCAGGCCTCCCCGTAGAGGCAGCAGCACTCCGTGTATGGCACCCGGCGGTCCAGGCGGGGTCGGCGGCACACCAGGTCCGGGCCCACCTCCTGCCAGCAGACGGCCAGGTCCTCCTCTGGGGGGTGGAGCAGGGATGGCCAGGATGACCCCCAAGGACCGAGGCTTGCATGGCAACCCGTCTCCCATCGCCCCCCTGCGAGGCTGGCCCAGAAGGGGGGAGAATACAAACCCAGGCCGTGGCTCTCATTGGTCACGCAGCGGCGCTGGGAGGGGTCCAGCACCAGGGGAGCAGCGCAAGAGCAGTAGTAGGAGCCGATGGTGTTGATGCAATGCCCCCCCACGCAGGGCTCGGCTTCTTCATCCAGGCACTCGTCGTTATCTGGGGCAACAAGGGCATCGGTCGGTCTCAGGCCCCGAGCAGCTGAGAAGTGGAGGAGGGGGGGGCAGTGCTCACCAATGCACTCCAGGTGTTGCGTCTCGTAATAGAAGCCATTGGGGCAGTAGCAGGCGTAGCCAGGGATCTTGTTCAGACAAACCCCGCCCTTGCACACCTGGGAGCCGAAGAGGGCACACTCGTCCACATCTGTTTAGGAACACAGAGTTGGGCATAAAGGTAAAAAGTGAAGACCCCCTAAGCACCCTCTTCCGTGTGGGCCCCCAGCCCCATTTAAACTGGCCACATCCAGACCCCCCCCCCCGCACAAGTGCACACCTGTAACTGCTGGGGCGTTTCTGACGAGGACAGCTGCATAGCCAGTGCCGTGAGGACACAGAGCCTGGAATTCGGCTGCAGGGAAACAGGCGTCTGTCAGCAGCTGCCCCAACGGCCCCCGGCCCCCCTCCCGGCCTCAGCCTATGGCGGGGGGGGGGGGGCTGGGCCACGGGAAAAAGGCTTGACTGGGTGCAATCTGTTGCTGGAGCTCCCGTCCAGGAGCCTTCGGAGGCCCACCCAGGGAGCCTGCCTGTCTCCGCCGTTCTCAAGGCCACCTGGCCCCCCCGAATGCCAGGACGGCCCCTGCTTCCCTTCCCATTGGGAGCACAGCTCTCCCCTTCCCCACTTCCTATTGGGTTCCTAGGAGTCAGGAGCAAAACTGGGTGAGGGTCCCTTGCATGGCTCCCCTCAGGCAAGCGAGCCAGAAGCCCCTTCCAGGAAATTAACTTGACCCCAACCGTTCCCATGACAACAGGGGATCCTTTCACCCGAAGGATCAGGGACCCCAATGCCACCTGTGGGCCTCTAAACTGTAGCTATTGACAGCTGAAATGATGTACTTTTTCTTGTCTCTTGCTGTATCTTTTTCACTTAGAAACATTTTATATACATTTTCTTTGACAAAGCCTGTACTTTTTATATGTCTGTGTTTCCCCCACTTCTAAGCTGCAAAATAATAAGCTTTTAATGGGGGGGGGGAATATGTTCCTAGAGCTGCTCCCATCCCCGTCCCCATCCGTGCTCCCTCCCACACACACCACAGCCTCCTCCAGGAAGCCCCCTTGGCCCTCCCGGCCTTACCTGTCCCCAAGGAGGGGCAGGCCTGGATGTGGCAGTCCAGGCCCCACCCGTGGCCGAGGCTACAGCAGCACTCCTGGCGGGTGGCGTTCCTGGCCAGGACGTTTTCACACGCCTGGGCGGCGTTTGGGTCATAGTAGCAGTCCCTTCGCAGGCTGTCAGCAGCGCTCTCTGGCTGCGCAGCCTCTGGGTGCCTGAGGAGGGCTGGGGGACGAGCTGCAGGACGGAGAAGGTGGATGGGACCCCTCCTCAGGTTCATTCGGAGTCCCCTCCCAAGTCTCCCCTCCGCTGGAGGGCCCTGGGTGGTCCGAAATGCAGCTGGGAATCTGCCTGGCAACATCTGTCCTGCAGTCCCTCTCTGAGGGGGTCCCAGCCACCTTGGAAGCCCTGCAGGCACTCGGGTATCTACACAACCCCCACCCCACCCTGCCTGGGCTGATCCATTTTGATCTGAGGTGGGGGGCAGGAGGTGTCTTCCCAGCAATAAGGGACGGGTGCCCAAAATCAGGGGTGTCCTCATCCTCCCCTTCCCCTGGCTCACCTTAGTTAGTTAGTCGCCTGATGGTTTTCAATTGTTGTGTGTTATTGTGTGACATTGAAAACCACCCCAAATCCTTCGGAAACGGGGTTCAGAGCGGTTTCCCTCCAAGGGCCACCTATTGGGAAGGCTGCCCCTCTGCCCCCCGCCCCCCCCCGGGGCCTGGGATACTGGGCCAGTTGCAAGCGTTCTCTGCTGACCCAGCTCTGGGGGGCTTCCCTCTTCAGCCGGGGCCTCTGAAGCTGACCTCCCTTCTGTCCCCCACAGCCCCCCCCCAGCTCTCACCAGCACTGGGCAAAGCAAGGCAGCGGCCAGTCATGGGGTCAAACTCTTCCCCAGTTTGGGGGCAGATGCAGAGGAAAGAGCCTTCCACGTTCTCACACGGTGCTGTTCCACACACCCCCTGCAGTGTCTCACACTCATTCACATCTGTGAGGAAGGGATGGATGGAAAGAAGGTGCCACTGGGATCCAAGCCTCCCTCCCCCTCCCTCCTCCCTGCCGTCTGCCCCCCAGGACCTCCATCCCCTCCCCTGCTGCCTTCCCTCCCACATACCTACGCAATGCTGCCCATCCCTGGCACTTTCATAGCCCTGGTCACAGATACATTGGAAAGAGCCAAGCAAGTTGTGGCAGATGGCATGGGCACCACACGTGGAACTGTTCTGGCACTCGTCCACATCTGCAAGGGTCACGAATACCCACTCAGAAGAGCTGTGGCCCTTTGGTGGCTCACTAGGTTGCAGAAGTCACCTCTGCGAGGCTCCTCCTGCCCACGGCCTGAACCCCAAAACAAAAGTCCTCACCTACGCAGCCCCCAGCAACTGTGGCTTGGTAGCCCATCTGGCAGGTGGCCACACAGTGATAGGAGCCCAGTGTGTTCTCACATCGCATCTCTCCACACGCCCCGGGCGCCTGGCATTCATCGATATCTGGAGGGGGAGCCGCCGGTTGGTACGCACGCAAGGCTAACGGGCAGGAACCCTCCCGGGCCGAAGGAGGGTCTTCTCAGAGAAGGCTCCCATGCTGACGCTGGCCACCAGATGCCCAGAACCAGCCCAGGTGGGGAAGGAGCTCACCAACACAGTCTCCTGCGCCACTGGTTCGGTAGCCGGCCTGGCAAGCCACAACACAGCGGTAGGAGCCGGCTGAGTTTTCACAGCGCTGCCTTCCACAGAGGGCTGCCCCGTACTCCTGGCATTCATCTATGTCTGTGGGATGTCAGAAGAGAAGGCGGCTCAGCAGGAGCTCCTGGTCCTTGGGGAGGGGCTCAGAATGCAGGGACCAGAGCCCGCCGTAAGCATCCAAGGGGCTAACCCCTCTGGTGGAGCATCCCAGGACGAGTCTCCAGGGTCCCCAGGGCCCCTGCAAGGGAGCAGATGTGTGAGATGACACTCCGCAGGGGCCCTGGCAGCAGGCCCTCCTGGGAGAGGTGCCAGCACTGGGGGGCGGGGGGGTGGTGGCAGAGAAATTCTTGGTTTGCAGGGCCCACTAGAGCTGTTGAGTGAGGGAAGGCCGTATCTGGTGGACTTGGAGCTTGTGCTTACGGTGGTCTCCAGGGTCTCCCGTCTCAGAGCTTCAAGCAAAGTTCTGACTTTTGCCCCTTCTCGACCCTGGCAGGCTGGAAGCAACAGTGCACCCCCCACCATCCCACACACCCCGAGACCAACTGCCGAGGGGCTGCAGCTGGAAATGCCACTCACCCTCACAGGCGGCTTTGCTGGGTGTGCTGCGGGTGCCAGGGGGGCAATAACAATCAAACGAGCCTTCGGCGTTGGCACAGTGCCCTCCAGCACAGACTGTAGCGCTGAGGCATTCGTCAATGTCTGTGCAAAGGCCAAAGGGGAGATCAGCAGGGCACAAACCCTGCAGCGGTTCTGGATCTCGCCCCCTCCCTTGGCAGCACGCACTCAGCGCCCCCCAGGTGAGACTGCAGGGCCCTTACCCTCGCAGGAGGCCCTGTCGGGGGCCGCAGTGAAGCCCTGGGCGCACAGACAGGTGTAGGAGCCCTCGGTGTTGAGGCACTCGCCCCGTGGGAAGCAGAAGTCTCCCTCCAGGCACTCGTTGACATCTGGCAGTGGGGAAAGATGAGCGGGCACCGTTCTTGCCAGTGTTTCCAGTCTATGCCTGGAGGGGCCCAGAGCTTGGAAAGAAGCCCAGCCTGGGTCTACAGGAAGGCAGCAGCCCCCGACTGAGCTCAGCCCTGGCTGGCATGTTCCTCTAATGTGTGGCACTCACCCACACAGGAAGTGCCCCCTGTGCCCTCCGTCCGGTACCCTCGGGCACACTGGCAGCGGAAGGAGCCCTCCGTGTTGAGGCAGTGCCCCTGAGGGCCGCAAGGCAATGCCGCTGCTGCACACTCATCAATATCTGTGGAAGGAGTCTGCCCATCAGTGGTGCCCCGGCCGTGCCCCCACGCCTCCCCCTGCCCCGAGCTGCCCCCTCCCCTTGCACACCCAGGCATTGGTCTTCCGTCAGGCTGGCCCGGAACCCGGCAGGGCAGAGGCAGCGGTATCCCCCGGGCACATTCTCACAGCGACCGGAGCCACAGGGGGGAGGGCTTTGCAGGCATTCATCAAAATCTGTGGGGCACAAAGCAGGAGGCAGCATCACTCCGGAGCCACGCCCGTCTCTCTGCTATGGATGCCTCTGAGCAAAGCCTGCCCAAGTGGGAGGACAGGCTGCTGCCATCCCCCAAAGCACGACCTGGACAGGGGCAGCTCCCCCCACACCCCCTGACCTGCACATAGAGTCCCCAGCGGGTTCGTCTGGTAACCAATGGGACAGCTGCAGCGATATCCACCCGGCACATTCTCACAGCGGCCAGGCTGGCAGAGGGAGGGGCGCTCTTGGCACTCATCTGCATCTGGAAAACCACAGGGCGACTTTGTTTGCCAGGCACCTCCCTACCCCCTTCCTGCTTTCGCCCCACCCCCCACCAGAAAAGGAGACTCTGGCCAAGGGGGAAGTGAGACCCCCCCTTAGAGGGGCTTTAAACCCTATCAGCAAAGGAGGTGTGAACTTGGGGGGCCTGCTCTCACCCTGACACTGGCGGTACCCATGGGAGCAGGCACAGAGGCAAGAGTCAGCGTGTTTGGAAATGGGGGGAGGCCTTGGGGGCACCCATTTACATGTGCAGCCAGAGAAAAAGAGAAGGGCAGCCATAACGGCAAACCACCCCCAGGTTTCTCTGAATGAGAGCCACGATTTGATGCCCCCCACCTCTGCCTACCAGTAGAAAGGTGGGGGAGGAGCTCGTGCTTCAAGACCCCACCCCCATTATCTCGACATTCAGCCCCCGAGGGGTTGGGCTGGTAGCTGCTGGGACAGGAGCAGCAGAAGGAGCCCAGGCTATTGAGGCAATGCCCACCCGCACAGGGCCGGGGAACGTTAGCACATTCATCAACATCTGGAAGGGAAACCGGGGAATGGGAGACGCGGGCGCATGATGGGAAGGGCGATTCCCCTGAAGGCCAAAGCCTCTGGAGACCCTACCCTGGCACTCCACTCCAGAGGGGTCGGCGTGAAAGCCCGTGTGGCACCTGCAGCTGAAACTACCCGGGGAGTTCTGGCAATGCCCATTGGCACAGGGGCGCGGACTGCTGCGGCATTCGTCCACATCTGCAGAGAGGGGAGAAGACGGGAGTACGACTGACAGGGAGGTTGGAAGAGAATAACGGCCCGGTGGAGCCGGAAGAGGGTTGCTCCCTGGTTGAGCCCAGATCAGGCTGAACCGGGAGCACCTTCATCTGCTCCTTGAGATGGGTGGGGGGGATATTTATGCTGCCAGCCGGGCTCAGCCCAGAATCTACCAGCTTCGCAAAACCCAGCTTGCCTCTGAGCATCTGCCTGGCCATCAGAGGCACCGTCTTTCGGGAGGCCTTGTGGAGGAGGTGAAGGCCTGCATGCCATCCCAAAGGTCACCCCCCCACACTGAGTTTGGGGGGCATCCTTCTCGAACTCACCAATGCAGTGAGTGCCTTGAGGGCTCAACCAGTAGCCGCGGTCACACACGCAAGTGTAGCCCCCCCGGCGGGGAATGCATCGTCCTGGCCCGCACACCTGGGGGTGTCTCTCGCACACCCTTCGCTCAGCCTCTGGGGAAGCATGCCATGGGAGCCCGGTCATTTCTTCACTCTGGCCTTTCCCCCCTCCCCCCCCCTTGCCACCTGGCATAGCCCCACCTTCTGTGCTTGGTGCAGCTGGCCCAGACCCAGGGGGCCGAGAGGGCAGGGGCCAAGGAAAGCGCTCCAGCCGCGTAGTGGGAGGGGTGCTCCAGAGAGCTGCAAAGCAGAAAGAGGAGGCATAAGGAAGAGAGGAGGGGGCTACCTTGGAGGCACACGCTGGTCAAGGGGAGCCCCCTCCCAAAGACATACCCACAAGAGACGGCGGTGCTGCTGTTGTCCGAGGCACCTGGGGGGGAGGCCCCTGCCTCCCATGCTGGCGGGTCACCGGCACCCTGGGGGGGTCCTGGCCAAGGAAGCGAGTGTCAAAGCGGAGGTCCGAGGCAGAGTAGTGATAGCCGGGCCCAGCCGGGCAGATGTCCTTGAACCCCTCTGGCAGGAGAGCAGCAGCGGCAAGTCAAGGAGAGGGCAAAGTGCCCACCTCACCCCCCAGGCCACCCCGCTGCCTTCACCCCTGCCCCGCTGATGGACTCCTGCTCCGGAGGCAGAGCTCCCGGGGCCTCACCTGAGCCGAAGGGCGGGCAGTGCTGGCAGCCCCAGCCCCAGGCCTTGCCCACCCGGCTGCAGCAGCAAATCTGCTTGGTGATGTTCCGCAGGGTGGGCAGGGAGCAGCGTCCGTCCCTCAACACGCGGAAGCAGGGGGCTTTCACCTCGGAGATCACATGGTGGGCTGGGAAGGAGAGGAGGGCTTAATACTTTGGCTGAAATACTTTGGAGGGGGGGGGGCTCCAACCCGGGGCAAGTCTGAGCATGGCTGGATCCAGTGGGGAGAGGGGCCTTAAAACCCTTCAGCCACTCCCCAATATAAAATATTGTGCTATATCTTAGATAAATTTGAATTTGGTTCAGATCAGTTGCATAATTTGTCCAATTTTGAATAAGAACTTCTTAATATCTGGGCACAATTTCTGACTGATTGTACCTTTGGCACAATCCTCACACCAAAAGCCAATGGCCTGCATTGGAAAGGATGCCGCCGCATCTCACTTCCCTCCCTTGCACACTTTTGTGTGAATTCTTCAACCAAATGTTAAACAAGCTTTTACTTCCACTCTGTCACCCTTTGGGGGGGGGGGGGACAATATTGGGTTTCCTCCATGTTACCTTGGGTGGCCAGGAGAGGGCAGCATTGGCCCACCTAGACCTGCCTGCCTTGGGAGCGCAAAGAGAAAAAAACCCCCCTTCCCCCCCCCCCCCCCCCCCCAAGCCACCGGCAGGTTCTCTTCCTGGGCTCAAGCCAGCTGTCCTTCGAGGGCCCCCCGCCCCCCCTGCCTTCCCTGGGGCTGGACTCACAGATGCAGCTGCTGCGGGAGGAATCAAGGATGTAGCCCTCATGGCAAACACAGGCAAAGCTGCCACGCGTGTTGGTACATTCCCCATTGTGGCAGAAGTTGCCCTCCTGGCATTCATCCACGTCTGGCAAGAGGGAGAGGCGGTCAGGAGGGTCAACTGGGGGTCTGCCCCCCACCTGCGGGCCCAGCCTCTCCGCGAGGCTCCCTGCATCCCTCGCAGCCCAGCAACCCTTCCCGGGCGGCCCCGCCTACTCACCCACGCAAGAGTTATTCAGCCGCAGGAACCCTCTGGGGCAGCCCCCCGCGTTCCTCCCAACTGACCCGGAGGCCCCTGTGGGGAGACAGCAGCATCAGAGGATGAAGGACCAGCCCGCCTCCTTTCCTGGGCCGCCGCCCGTCCCCACAGAAGGGGCTTGGGAGGGGGGGGGTGTGGAAGAGGAACGCGGGGCTTCCCAAGCAGGGAGGCAGGCAGCAAGCCTAGCCGAGAGGCGCCTGTGTTGGGGGTGGGGGAGAGGTGAGGGTCTGTGGAAAGAACTGGACCAGGCGAAGCCCCGGACAGCAGCAACCCCCGGCTTTCGGCTCTCTTACCCACGTCCCCATCGGCACAAGGCAGGCAGCCATGGACACCCCAGGCGACACCGGAGCCACGGCAGCAGATCTCTCGCGTGCGCAGCCCAGGCAGGGGGGCGCTGCACTGAAAGGGCGAGGCAGCGGCCAGTTAGGCAATGCCCCGGACCAGCCTAATCACCGCCCCACCCCCGCTAACTCTCCCTGCTCCTGGCAAGCGAGGAGAAGGCAGGGCTGGTATAGCCCAAAAGGCCCCCCGCCCCCTTTGAGATGGAGGCTGCGAAACAGGCCCCCGAGTAGCGCGCTCGCTTCTTTCCGGGCGATTTTCAGCCTCTCCAGAAGGAATCCGTCGCGCAAAGTTGCACTCTTGCCTGCGAACGTGGTTCTGCGTGGGGTGTGAAAAGAGACCTGCGTGCGCTGGAGTTAGGCGGAGAATTCAGCAGAGAGCACCTGAAATTGGGGGGGGGGGGGCGCCTGGGGGACCCTTCCTTGCCTGCCCCCGCCCGCCCGCCGCTCCCGCCTCCCTCGCTGGAAGCGTCTCTCAGTTACCGGCCTCCCCCTGTGGCCGCCCAAGGAGAGGAACCCTGCGCTTGGCCAGGGAATACGCCGACATCTGAGCGAGGACCGAGGCGGGCTTGATCCGGCCAGGCGCCCGGTCGCCGCCAATTCCGGAAAGAGCCGAAAACCCTCGCGCGCCCCAGACGCAGTTCAGGCCCGCTTTCCCTGCTGGCTTCAGGGGGAGCGGCGGGGATGGGTTGGAGCAGGATTTGTTCGACGGCAGTCCCAGCCTACCTCTTCGCCGCGCAGCTGCTGGAAGCAGTAGCCGAAGCCGGAGCTTTCGCCGTAGCCACCCTCGGGATCCCGGCGGCTGCTCTGGGCCAAGACGCCGGCGAGGGCTCGGCGGGAGGGCGAGAAGGCGTTGGGGTCGCTGGGTAGGGACTCCTCGCTGACTCGCTCCACCTGGTGGATGGTGACCGAGGCCTCCGGCGGGTGCTCCACGTGGACGTTCACCAGCGACGCCAGACCTAGCGGGAGGAGACGGCGGTGGGGCCCGAACCCAGAAGGGGCTCAGGCCTGGCCGCCAGCTGCCCCCCCCTCCTGCTGCCCCCAGTATGCCCGGTGCCCCGGGAGCTCCTCCTTTGCCCAGGGAGTGACTGCTGTGAGGGGATTCTTATGACTTACTGGCGTTATATGGCTGCCCATCTGATCTCATCTAAAAGACACTTAAACTTTTGATGCAAAATGATGTTGTATGTATGGATTCAATATTTAGAATATTTTGTTTAAAATTAAGGAATAATAATTACAGTTGAAAAATTGGCATATAACAATAATGTACTTATGTTTATCTAATGAACAATTTGATTTATAATTGTAAGTGGTGACCATGGGAAGGACGCACAAAATCTTGTAACCAAACGACACGATATATCAAATGGAAGAAGGTTGTATGGGTCTTATGTTTTTGTTTAAAAATAAATAAAAAAGTAAAAAAAAATAAAAAAAGTCAGCTCACGGCAGGTAAAACAATCTAATAACAATAAGTGAACAACTGTCCATGAGAGGGAAATCAGCATTGGTAGCGAAAGGCCTCCTATCTCAGCTCAAGGCAACCCTCAGACCCCCGTGGCAGAGCCAGAGCCGTGGCTTCAGAGCCTCCCTAAAGGCCAAGGGGCGGGGGGGGGAGGGCAGCCTAAGGTCTAGGGTGGGGAGGGGATGCAGGGTGAAGGCCCCTGCGGAAGGGGCTCTTTCTAGATGGGACCCTGACACGCCAGTCCTAAGGGGAGGGGGGGGACCCTGTTTCTTCTAGAGCCTTCTAGTCCTTCAACTGGGGGCTCCAGCTCTTAACTGCCCTGCTCCACGCAGTCACAGGCAGGAGATGGCCCTGCCTAGGTGTCCTCCTCACCTGGAAGATTTGCAGGCAAGCAAACTTTCACAGCCATTTCTCCCCCCCCCCCCCGCCCCGGCTTCCTTACCGTCTCGCTCGTAGCGGTGGTTGGCGATGGGAAGGGTGTGCACGGACTGCTGCTGCCACCTGTTCTCCAGCTCCCCCTCGGTTCCCGGGTGAGCAGGGCCTTGGCTGAGGTAAGGAAAGGCCGGGATGTGGCAGAACTTCCCTGTCCAGTGCGGGGGGCAGAGGCATTTGTCCTTCCTGAGACAGACTCCCCCATTTTGGCAGATGAGGGGACACAGGACTGCAGGACAGAGAGAAGGCGGGAGTGGAAACGGAGGCAGAAGCTCAGCTCACGCAGGCCGGGAGCAGGACAACCAAAGACCGGGCCTCCCGCCTCTGCTTTTCAGCCCCACCCTGGTCAATGAGGCCCCTTCCCTGTCTGGCCCTGTCACACCCTGGACCTTCCCTTCCCAAGGAGAGTGAGCCCAGGAGAAGGCCGGGGGGGGGGGGGGGGCGGGAACGGGGGCCCACAAAGGCCAAAAAGGGGGGCTGCTCCGAAGCCCCTGAAGGCAGGACGAGAAGCAACGGATGGAAACTAATCAAGGAGAGAAGCAACCTGGAACTAAGGAGAAAGGTCCTCACAGTGAGGACAATTAGCCAGTGGAACAGCTTGCCACCAGAGATTGTGGGTGCTCCACCACTGGAGGTTTTCAGCAAGGAATTGGCCAGCCATTTTTCTTGAATGGAATAGAGTTTCCTGCTTGAGCAGGGGATTGGATTAGAAGACACACACACACACACACACACACACACACACACCCAAGGTCCCTTCCAATTCTCTTATTCTGTTACTCTATCTGTTTGTCCGTTGCTCCGTCCAGGAGAGAAAGGTAATGTGGGGAGGGGGAGGACACGGCTTTTCCCCATCCCATCCTTTGGCTGCCCTGAACAGCAGCCTCCTAAGCCTGCCTGCTCTGGAAAGGCATTGGTCCCCCAGACTAACAGATGGCTCAGCAACTCTTCTCAGTACCGAAATGTCCCTTTGATTTGAGACATTGGCTCTCCAGCAGGCGCTTAGCCCAGAGACCTGGCCCTGATGGCAAGGCTGAGGGATGGACAGAGGCCTCTGGGCATTTCTCGCCCGCCCCACGTGACCCACAGGGAAAGAAGCAGCAGCAGGTTGCAGTTCCTGTCCTCGGGGGCTGCCTGGGCAGGGAAGTGAGCCCCTCCCGCCTGCCCAAGCCCTCCACTCAGACTCCTCCCAGGGAAAGGATTCTGGTTGGAGGGCAGCCCTGCGGGAAGGCAGGGGCTCCAGGCCAGCCGGAACAGCAGGGCGGGGGTGGGCTGGGGGGGAAGGGACGTCCCTCGAGCAACAGAGCAGCTGCACGGCCCAGATCCCTCAATCGCCCTTGGAGCTGCTTCCTCTTCGCAAGTTCAGCTAGGCATTTTATCCACCTTGGGGGGGGGGGATGCCAAAGGCTGCCTCCCCATGTGTCCAAGCAGTCAAGAGTACGTGACCCCCGGCCACTGGCCAAGCCCCTCCCTGCTGTGCTCCCACCCACCCGGGGCCTGGGTAGCATCAAGTGGAACAAACTGCACAACAACTGGAAGGGAGGAGACCGAAACGCCCCCACACAGGATCTCAGGCGGGAGGCCGTGGCCTTTCTGGGGAGAACTGATGCCTGCTGGGGACAAGAGAAGTGGTGGGCCGGAGGGGGACTTGAGGCCCAGAGGCCTGTCTTGCTCTAGCACAGCCACCGCCTTGCTCCTTCTCCAGAGCTCTGGCCGGACTGGAGCAAAGGCAGACTGGCACCCGGCCCAAGGCAGCCGTCCCATCTTTTGGTGGCATGATGCCAGCCTCCTGTTTATGCTTTCATTTCCCAGCCCTGAAGAGGCTCCAGGAAGGCTCTGGTGTGGGGCTGGGCTGCTGAGGAAAGAGCTCCTGGAAGGACAGGAACCAGGGGAGGTAAAACGGGCAGCCCAACCAACAGTCCTGTGCCTCTGCCCCAGATGTCCCCTCCCCCCCCGGTGACCCCCATAGTTTTGAGAGACCCTTCAGCGCCCACCTGGGGGGACGGGAAGGCCGGCCCCGCCTGCAGGCAGCTACCTGCTTCAGGGTTGCGAGTCTGACCTGCCCCTGCCCTGCCTCCTCCCAGCCCCCTCCTGCCTCTGCCAGGCAAGGACACGCCCAAGAGCCTGCCTGGGGCAGCAGCCCAGGGGACTCCCGTCCAGAGACAGCTCTGCAGTCGGGGGGGGGGGCAGCAGCCGGGAGAGGTAGGGGCCCCAGAAGGAAGAAACCGGGGTGGGCCGACCGAAGGGATGAAGGCCAGCCAGCTGCTGATTCCTGGGCAGAAGCTTGCATGGGAAGGGGGGGGGGGGGCAGAGCGAACCAGGAACCTGCTAAGCAGCGGCTGAGTCTGAAAATAAGGTAAGACCCCCCCAGAGGGCACCTGATGTGCACCAGGCAACAAGAGGGAAGAAGTGCTTGAAAGCGGAATGGGGCCAGGGCTCTCCGTTTCCCCCTTCCCAGGGTCTGGGATGTATGCTGGCCCTCCCCTCTCCCCACTGACTTCTCAGGGGCCCATGATCTCAACCCAGAAGCCAGTGGCTGTCGGCTCCCCTGCCCCCCTCGGTACTTACAGACTCGGAATCCGGAAGCCCCTTCCACTGCCCGGGCGGCCTCCCCGCTGAGCAGAGTGGTAGCGTTGCCCTGCTGGCATCGGTTAGTGCAGCGCCCATTGCTGCAGTGCATGTGGCAGATCGTGGGGGTGAAGAGGACCTTGACCTGCTGACCCTCCCCAGGCAGCAGGGAGAAGCCGGCCAGCAGCATCAGCATGGCCAGCAGCAGGAGGTGGTGGACGAAGCCCATGGCACCAAGCTGAGCAGGGAGCCACAGCTCCAGACAGGCTGCAGGCAGGGAGGGCTATGCGCCCACCATGGAGAGCACACAGACTCACCCGCTAATTGGAAGCAGCAAGCTTGGGGTGGGTGGGCTGCAAGCCAACAACAATGTTTACAAGGGAGCACGGCCGCCAGGAACACGGTTAACTCTTAGCTGCTCTCCACAAGCCCAGAGGAGTGAGCGTCCTTCCCTTGCCCCCCCCCAGCGCAGAAGGCCCCCCCTCCCCAGCACACAGAGCCAAGGTGCCAGCAGACAAGCCGGCTCTGCTGAAGTCCCTCCAGCTGTTCCCCTCTGCAAACAGCTGCAGAAAATGCGTCAGGAGATGGGCTCTCCTGCGCAAGCCACCCACTCTCCTCCACTGCACTCGTGGGGCCCTCGCGCTGCCTTACGCTGCTCCCAATTGCTGTGTCCCCACACCGACACACACACACACACTGCCACCATCAGGGCAGCCCCCCCCCTCAGCAGCTGCTTCCTGCCCAGTCTGACTGGAGCTCTCCTGGCTCCTCTGGAGAGGCTGCCCTGCCCGCCTCATATTTCCCTCCCCTCCCTTCCTCTTCCATCTGAAGGGCGAAGCCCCCCCCCCCGTGTCCCTCTGTCCCATTTCTGCCCAGGGGTTACTGACAACAGGCAGCCAATTCCTCTTCTTCAGCCTGGAAATGCAAGATCTGAATCTGGTTTCTAAGTGGAAAGCCCCCCCCCCTCCCGTTTCCCCAGCTGTTGACACCCAGGGCTGCTTTGTGTTGGATTTCTGACATGCAAAGCCTTCCTCCTCCAACAGCTGTGCCCAGAAGAAAGACCCCCCCCCACTTTGCAAATCTCCCAGCAGGCACCGTTTGGGAACAGGGCAAACATCTGTGCCAGCTGGACATGCACTGGCTGGTCATAATGAGTTTGTCTTATACTCTAAGCCAATTCTCCATCTCCCCCCCCCCCCCCTCGGCTGCCTGCTGCCTTCTCAGACATGAAGAGGACTTTGGGATTCTCATTCCAGAAAAATGGGGGACCCCTAATCAGAGGGGAGAAGGAGGAACCTGGAGCAGCAACAGAGCAGACCTGGAATTTATGGAAGTTTCAAGGGAGGGCAAAGTAAATGCCCCCCCCCAAAAAAAAAGAATAAAGAAACATTTGAATGTGGAAAACACTCAAAGCCAGCAAGGAGAGGTGGGGCTTCCTGATGGCCTCCCCAGGGAAGAAGCGGGCCTGTGGGCGGTGGGGGAAGGAGCAGCACCCGCTCTCCTCCTCCTCCCAATGCAGCTTCACATGACATCATCTGGAAAAACCTAGGCGGGGAGGGGGGGACAGAACAACTGCCAGACCCAGAGGGGTGGGGACTGAGCTGGACATGGGAGCTCTTCTGAAACTTCCAGATGGGGAAGAGGGGTGGCCTCTCTATAGAGAGAGAGAGAGAGGCCCTCCCCTCCCCCCCAGGCCGCTCTTGCAGAAGGGTCTCTCCGGCTTAGCCCAGATGTGTGGGAGACAAAGTGGGCAAGTGGATTGTTTGAGATCCTAAAGGGACCCACTAAAGAGAAGCTCCAAATCCTCCTTGGATGGCCCTTCCTTCAAGGTTGCCCCCGCAACTCCCCAACTCCCCTTCCAAGTCCCCACCTACCTCCTGAATCTCTCCCGCTGCAAGTGTAGGAGCCTCCCCAGGGACGCAGGCCCTCCATCCACCTGGCCTTCCGGATGGGCCTCTCCTTGCCAGAGCGATCCAGGGCCCTGTGCTGTGACTGAATGAGAGACCCTGGCCTTTCCCCCTCCTCAAAGGAGGGGACCTGCTTGAGGTGCCCCCTTCCAGAGGAGCCCACCCACTGCTTTCAGCCAGCAGCTTCCAGGCCCCCATCAGACTGCTGCCCTTCGTTTCTGCTTAGCCTGTACTTTGCTGCTCCCTGACCAAGAGAGCCCCCTCCCCATCAGGTCCCGAGGCCTTATCCTCTATCCGGCCTACAGGAAGTCCTCTTTTGGAGGCACGGCTGGCTGTGAGGTCACCAGAACATCTGCTTGCGAGAGAACTCTAGGCAGGAGGACACGCCATGCCAAGTCTTCTTCCAAAAGGGTGACGACTTCTCAGGATTAGCGGATCTAGCATGGATTCATCTATTCCCACTGGAGGAAAACAAAGCACCCTTTGCTCCCAGCCTTCCAGGGGGGGGAAAGGCAGGCTGCATAACTTACCCTTCTTTTTGAAAAACCAAAGGCCCTTCTGCTTTAGCCTCAACGGTGGGTCTCTGCAACGGGCCCAGACTGCCCCCCTCCCAGTTCAGCTCCACCACAGAGGCCCTCAAGGTACAGCTCAGGGACAAGGGTGCTTCCCAACAGCCCCCGCAGCTCTCTTTCCTGCCACCTCTCCCCTCCTCTGACCCCTCCCCTCCGGGGCTGTCAGAATGGCTCTTTCCAGGGGGGCCCGTTTCTCTTTGCAGAGCTCCTATGTCAGGGCTGCCCCCCCCCCACGCTTGCCAGGGGTTGGGGCCCCTGCGTGGCCATTCTCGCCTGCTGTTTGGATGGGGGAAAGCCCAACTCACGAAGGCCAGGCGTAGCCCGAAGGTTTCCTTCCCATCCGCACTAAATGAAGGCTGCGTGGCACGCTCCGACCACTCTTCCCGGAGTGGCTTCTTCAGGGGGTCAGATTCTTTTGTTTTTTTAATTAAAAGTTTTAAAAAGTTTTTACAAATATTTACCTCCCCTCCCCCACCCGAACCCCCCTCCCCCCAATCCCCCCCCCCCCCCCCCCCC